TATTTCAGAGTATTTAGACCCAGTGGATTGTCGTTCTTTCCGCACGAAAAGTGTTTGACTGAACCCCAAAGCATTCCATTTCAAAACATTAAAAAATTCGGTTACAGAAAAAGTGGTATCATCACTTTGTAATTTAACAACTTCGACGGTAAACGAAACGCGTCAAGGGAATTCTATACTTATCCTGTCTGCTTTGCCTGCAGATGCCTCATCTCGCCGTTGACAGTCCAAAACAAACGTCTGTTACATGCTGAAAGGATCGTCAGCATGTGGAAGAACTGACCGTGTGAAGAACGTGTGTGCGATGCAAATTAATCTCTTCCAGTTTTCGAACCCAACTATTACCATTAATATCAAAACAGGAAATCAGATGTAATAAATCTGTGAATATAATAATTATCACTTGGACAACGCAACAGCACCAACTCCCGTGACGTTTTGCATTGCGTAAGGTGCCATATATATCATACAATGCACAGTGTCCAACTAATCAACATTGCCACAAACTTTTGGAAGTTATTATTAAGTTACAGGGTACGGAACTGTCAAAAATAACCATTTTATTGATACAATTTCCCAGGTGGTTCACAATAACCTGAAGAATATCACGTTACTGTTTTCTCAAAGTCTTTATACACTAAAATTAAGACCTTAGATAAAGTAAATTTATTGCAAATTACCAGAAACTTTTAATGATTTACATTTCCACTGCTGTAAAAAACGATTTGAAACTTTTAAACATGGAATGTTGGTGTGTTTATTTTATCATTGGACAATCCATTCTGTTGACATTACAAGATATTGAGGTGAACTGAATCACGTGATAGTGGTGCGTCACGCGATACGTCACGCCCCGATGTGACATGGCCACCGCGCGTGTTGACTATCACTGACCATATTTTACGTTGCAAATAGGGCGGGGTGGTGATAGCACTCGCTCCGAATTAGCATATCGTGCTCTTTCAATAACATGGCCTCCAGTGTATTTAAAAAACTAAGGGGAATTCATAACACTGGTTTATTAATACTGTGTAACATCCGTAGCTGTCCCCACGCAATCATATTTGTAATTTTGAATGCATAATCATGAAGCATAATTTTTTAGGCTGGCGGCAGAGTAGTCTAGAGAATCGTATTTTCTTTGCAGGTTTTATTTTTATAATTCGAACGTCTTTTGTGAATTCCCCCAAACCGTATTTGGTAATGTTTAACAGGCTGTTGTCTTTGGATTTAAAGTCAAATTGCAAACTGAGACGAAGTCTTCGGAAACTGAGATTTGTCTATTGTCGAATGTCATCCGACTTTGCTCGCGTCTGAGGTCTGATCGTAATTTTACGCGAAGAATTTTAGATGCAGTTTCTATATTCGAAATATAAAAAAACAAATTCTTATGTTGTGTAGTCAGTGATGTAATTTATTTAATTTATTTTAGGTGTAGATTATATACTATGTATAACTTGAATTATACACCAACAACTTTGGGGGTACAAAGTTGAAGAGAAATTATATCTGGGGGTACGCGAACAAAAAAGGTTGAATACCACTGGTGTAGAGTAGGTAAGTAAGTAAGTAAGTAAGAAGTGTAAGTTACATTAATTTGAGTCCGCTTTACGGTCCAACTTATTTCTATGCCTAAATACATTCTTGAGTTGTGTAGATCTGCGTATTTTATGAATCCCCATAAATTTTATTGAAGGTACCTATTTTTCAGGCGGCACCCCACTTTGCCCTCCGTTTTCTGATTGGTTTACATGGCGTCGTTTGTTGCGAAGATGTTAGAACTGTCTTAGCTATAACCATTTCTTTACAATTGCTAGAAAGTACATTTCTTGTTTGAAGGACTAGCAGAATTGGCAAACTTTATAGTAGACTTTGCTGAATGGTTCAATGCCGCATTTCTTCCCCACTTGAATGTCATTTCTTTGTCCAAAATACGGGTAATTAAAATAAAAATTTTGTCTGCAGCCATTTTAGAGCAGCATTAATAGAATATATATCGGCTGTCGCCTGATCCTATGTTGGAGATGGACTTCCTAAAACACGCCAGTTCTGGGAAAGGAAAGAAATTACAAGCCCCATGTTCATGTCTTCGAGATCAAATTCTGTTGTATGGTTTGCGTGCAAACTTAAGTCTCATACCTTTTGTTTATGAGAATTAAGTCCGTTTTCTTTTAACAATTTCTATCCATTTTCTTTTCCGTTCTTTTCGTATCACATTAGTCATTTATGTTATTTTGGTGGCTATTTGTTGCCTGCAACATTCACGACAAAGTTAGTGCGAGACTTGTTTCTTTGGCTGTTTACTCTGTGATTGCTTCTTGATTAGCATTTCGTGTTGGAAGTCGCCTTTGTGCAGTCCCTCCTGAGTATGGTTACTTTTATTGCAGTCAGCTTTGCGGGTCTGGCTTTATCTTTTGTGTCATTTTATAAATCCACTCAACATGCTCTTACGATTAAATGCTACTGAGTCGAGGAGCGTGTAGTCCTTAATGTAATATGCTTCTTGTTCCTCATGAACGGAAACACTTAAACCTTGTCACAAGTAAAGGAGAAGGATGTTTAGTGATCTCTATGCATGTGGAACACGTAATTTGATTTTTTGTAGTCTCAATTACATATGTATTCAACGTCATGTTTCTTATCTTTTTAGTGGAACAGTCTGGACCTCCGTCACGAGGTCTTCTAATATTTTTGTTTCGCCAACATTTTTACCTTGCAATTTAGAATTGTTAAATGAAAGACACTCGTCCCGTAATAACAATTACAAGTATAGGAGCAGTGTTCGTGTGCACAACGGACGTCCTGGAACATTTGCATATTATTTTGTCAGTCTCATATACATTTATATTAAACATTTTTGTTTGAACGTGCTTTTTAATATTTGTAGGTTCTGCCCTCAGTACATTTGTGGCTCCCTAACCTGTCATGTTCTGCAATAATTTTCTGTCTCCGTTTCTTGTTAGCTTTCTGTTTCCTATTCGTATTTGCCATGAAACATAACAGCACTTTGTAAGTTTTCTGAAAATGCAGCTATGTACAGACTATTTAATTTATAGCATTTAATGTAACGGTAGCTGTCTCCATTCCATAGTCCTAAAGGCGTCATTAAACACATGCCACCAAGGCTGGAGCATTACAACTGAAAATAAATGCCTTTAGGAAAACAACGCATCATGTCCTCCTTGCATTGTCAGTGTTTCTGAATATCCCTGGTACAGCTTACCCTCTACCCAAAATTATTTAATTTAGTTTGATTTTGTTGAGTATAGACCATAAGAAGGTATAGATTCTTTCATCATGTTTTTAGTCCATTGTGGAAGTAAGAAATGTGGCTGATTTCTCTTACTACAGTACAAAGTATAAGAACAGAGTCTTCTCTGCAAGCGGACCTCTGGTTGAGACACACGGAAGTAGATAAAATAAAGCAACTCGGCCATAAATTGAAGTGAGAAATGGGTCCGGAGGAATCAGTCACACCTCCACCACGTTTCATGTCCCGACCATCTCGTTCTCCTTGATTTTGCCGCCCGGATGATTTGTAGTGGAGAATATAAATAGTAAGGTCCCTGATTGTGTAATTATCTACAGTAATAGGTTACATACTTTTGTCCCTATAGAAGATGACAAAGCGGGTGACAGCCTTGAGGTCCAGTTTCAGCCGGTGGACGATTCGTTGGACCCGGCTGTTTTGACATGGTTAACGAGGCGATGCGAGCATACGCGTATACCCCCGCAAGTGAACCGAAATTAACCAGACCCTCGGAGGTCCTTCAGGCCATCAAGTGACTCAAGGTTGGCAAGGCTCCGGGCCCCAACGGTATACCGAACAGGGTTCGGAGACGTCTTCGACGGCGCGCGATAACCTTTGTCACGAAAGTGTTAAACGCGGTCGCTCGCGTGGTGTCCATACTGAAACCGGGGAAGGACCCCACGCTACCTTCTTCCTATAGACCCATCAGTCTTCAGGACACGGTCGGCAAGCTCTTCGAGAAAATCCTACTAACTAGGATCCTGCAGGATGTAAACGAACGTGGGCTGCTGCGTGGCGAGCAGTTTGGGCAAATTCACGAGGATTTGGGGATTCCACTCTTCTCCGACCACATCAGAGCACTGACCAAGAGCTTCCATTTTAAGTTAGCTGGTGTGGGGAACCCCTTCGTCCGGAAACTAGGGAGGCACTTGTGCCGAACGAGGGCCGACAAGAGGTCACCCACGGGCAACCGAGGTGGACTGATGTTGAACAGGCCAGCCGAGGCTGTCCCCAAAATACGGCCAAGTCGGCACAACGAGTGGTCTGACTACTCGGCTAACCTGACTAAGGCTTTCCGTGCTTCTCCTCAGTTGTAAGGCAAATGCTAGGGTATAATTTAAAAGGAAAAAGTTGCCTGATTTGATAACCTTTCAACCCCCGTTAGCGTAAGGAAATTTCCGTTTTAGTTATAAAGTTTACCATTTCCAATAGTGCGTTTCGTACGCAGGAATGGTGTTACCTAGCAAGGGACGATATCTTGTGTTTGCACAGGACTCCGCCCTTAGTTAGCTTTTTGGTTGGTTGTTGGTGGTTGATAACCATTCACCTCCATCCGTCCCCTCGTCAGCACGTCTGCTTGTAGTGTGCTTCTAATGTATCTGGTGCAACTTCACCGACTACACATCAGTGTTTACCTTCTTTAGATGAGAGACCAAGTTTCGCGCGCGTTTATATTTTAGGTAACATAATTGTGTAGAGCTAAGAACTTTGGTTTACGATAGGAAAATAAAGGATTCTGAACTGAGTGGTAGCAGGGTCTTCCGGAATTCAGTCTGCTCTTAATTTCTTCTTGAACATAATTTCCTTTTGTTGTTATGGATACAAGGAGTAAAATAAACATTTCCATTTGACGTGTATATGTTCCACTGTATTTACATTAACCTTTCTTTGCGCCTTGAATTTCAATACATGACATTCAGCATGTTCCAGACTGATATTTATACGCAATGTTGTTTACTTTCTGTTTCAGCGGATCGAATGGCATTCCTCAGGAGCTCACAGGGAGCTGTGCTACCTCAAGGGGAAGTCGGAGGTGAGTCTCAGACACGTTTCTTTGATTATTATTTCTGAAAATGTATTCTGCTAGGATAGACTTATAAACGTACTAACTGTAAATGCTATTATCTAAACTCTTAAATTAAGAGTTGTAACATGTGTAGTGTTTTGTTTTTGTTCTTTCGCGCAGATTTAGACTGAATGATAATCGTAAGTTTTAATAACTCCAGAGTTTTACGCGCGCCATCGGTATGTTCGTAAAATCTTTTACAAATGAATTATTTTCATAGCTAAATTATTGGCTCGATTGTAAGGCGATAATTTTAACTGCATACAATTTAACATCGCCTACATGATCGCCCGATAATGGGGTCGGTGTTTTCAGCCGACAGCCTTCCAGTGTTAGTTGTGGGCCCACATACATTTTTGGTAATATTGTGTTTTACCGTAAGATGAAAAATTGTTATCTGAATACACTTTCTCAATGTTGTCAGTATTTGGCAATACTGCTGCTGTGAGAAGTTGTTCAACTTGCTGATGGACACTTGAAGGCATGCATGAGAATCGCAGAAACAGAAATTATACCTGATATTTGAAATATTAACCAAGCAAAATTTGTGACAGGCCGATTTTGTTACATAAAGCGGAGTAATATATAAGCCTATTTGCATTAGTAGCCCGAATTTAATATAATTTTTAATAAACTGCCGTGTATTTTCAGTGCATTGCTCTCATTTATGCACATGCGACTGGCGAGTGTATAACAAAAATTGAATGAATGTATTTGTGCTTGTTTACTGTGGTTATATAAATTTTGCCATAAATAAATTACTTTTCGAGTCTGTAAAGTTGGTGAAACATGATTACATCTTATCAGTGGGCCTAACTGATTCGATTGCTTGAATACGACGAATGAAGAATAATAATAATAAATTATAGCAGTACAAAAACAAGCGTTAAACACTAAATATTATGCAGCCAAAATATTAAAAAAAAGATACAGAGAGCAAATGCAGATTATGTCAGAAATTTGACGAAGAAACAGATCTGGCTGGCAAAAGAGCAATATATACAAGACATGTCGTGTCTGTACTCAGTCAGATTTTAACTTATGCAGGAAAGCTGGAGTAAAGCTAGATAAGAAGCATTGTTATGAACACATCCCGAAGGCAGTTGAGATAAGACAAGATAGCCAAATAACTATTTTGAGGAATCAACAGGTCAGAACAGATAGAACTATTCCAAATAATAAACCTGATATAATTCCAAATAGCAATACCAACAGACAGAAATGTAATTAAGAAGGAAGCAGAGATCATCTTGAAATACAAGGACCTTCTCATAGAAATACAACGAATGTGGAAAGTAAAAACCAAAGTAATTCCAGTAATTATAGGAGCAACCGGAACTGTCTCCAAGTCACTCAAAAATTATTTGGCCAATATCCCGGGCGAACACGACATTAAGGTACTTAAGAAAACCGCCATTCTATGAATATCATACATCATTCGAAATATGCTGATGTAAAATATGTAGTATATATAGTAATGCTTCACAATAAATTTATATAATATATGTAACGCGTATTAAAAAGACAATGTATTTCAGAAATGGCTGCTGCACTATGTACCTCAGGAGCAAAGCCTGTCTCAGGTACATAGAACTAAATACCCTGTAAAATTTTGCATAATTGGAATAATATTAATAATATGGCGAAGAGGGGATGATGATGATGAACATAACGATGAAGTAGATGCTGTTGCTGAAGAGAAGGCGACACTAATGCAAACAGTAACGATTCAAGACTAGGGCTTGGTTGAATATAATAATTACTTATTCAGTACCAACATAGGGTCAACAGAATGTGACCTCCATAGCTTGAGGTCATTTTCCACATAACAGTATTATCAGCGGTAGTAGGCGTAATAACTGGTGACGTCAGAGGCCGTGCTGGACACTGTTGATTTGGAAATTGCGGCACAGCGTAGGCGGCCATCTTGTGTTTCCTTGTGAGGTGGTCGAGAAGTACAGCACACGTTGCGCCATTCAGAAATGCGTACAAAATTTTAGTAGGAAAATACTGAATCACTTGATAGACGTAGACGTGTTTGGGAATATAATATAAAATGGTTCGGGACAGCTGTAAGTCGATTGCATCATACCAGGTTAATATGGTGGCAGGTTCTTCTGAACACGGTAATGAATCTTTGGGCCTCGGGGGAGAAACTGTGCGCTTCCTTTAAGGACTGCGCCCCGTGGAGGTGCATGTTTAGTTAAAACGACCCATGAAATTAAGACGCTGAAGTTTCGGCTTTCTGCCTAATTCTGATTAATTCCCATTGCAGTTTCATGACATCAGGAAGGAGTTGCCAAAAGAAAGGAGTCAGAGGTTGTCTCGTTTGTTAGAGAGAAAATATTAAGATGTAGTGCTAGCTGAATTGGTAGGTTGGTAGCGTATTTCGCGTCGCCTTTCCAACTGCATATGCTTCTTACCGTCGAATGAGATGGTGAATTGATAACACACGGAAATTTAAGGCCGTCCATACTGCCCGCTCCCCCCCCCCCCTTTCACAAGAAGCATGCACCCTTGTTGAAGATGTACAGATGATGAATTTATTACGTCGATGTAGATTCAGTGTGATGATTATGTTTAATTTGTGATCGGTAACTAACACAGACATACTTGACAACGAATTATATCGCCCTACTAGTTTGGCGCGAATACAATGATTAATTAGTTCGAAGATCATTTTTAGTCCTGTACGTGAATCGGTGGACAACTGAATTCTGGAGCCAAGAGGTGCTTCATTGAAACTTTTGTGTACACTTTTTTCCGACACACCTACTAGCTCTTTCTGAAATTAAAATATTATTGGTCAAATCTGGCCAAACCGGCCAAATTAGAACACTGACCTGGGATGGTAGACTTTGGGGTTTCTGTTAAGTTCCTCTCAGCCCTTTCGGGCTTAAAATTGCGATCCCAACCTGGCACGTGCAAATCCATCTATCTCGGTGTGATCGGCAAAATGTGGTTAGATGCACCTTCTCGTTACAGTCTCTGCTGAATAAGACATACGAGTCGGTGATGGCCCCCTTCTGGGTTTTGGCGCCGCGTAGTGTTGTAGAAATTTCCTCTCCATCATCAGGACTATGAGTAAGACCCACGCGCTGATGACGAAGGCTGCAAGAGCGTCTGAAACACGGCGTTACAACCCAGAAGACAACCATATTCATACTCACCGCCGTAAAACCTCAAACCATACGACTCGTTGTTTGGCTTCTGGAGCTGTAGATGGTTTACGTCGGGCAAGTTCGGTACTTCGGTGTCGCGCGCTGACATGTTTTCACTAGTCTATTTGTCGACTGCTCCCGGGTTTCGAAACCACGAGTCTCTGTTTTGTGATGCGGTAGATCCGTTATGGCATTCGAAATCAAGTGACTAATACATGTATCTTCTCTTACAAAAGTATTTAGGTATGTCTGATTAAAAATGTGAAGTAAAAAATATTATGTTGTCATGTAATATATTATATTACGTTATAATTAAAATATTAACTCACAAATTGGCATGCCTAGTTAAAGCATCGGATAGACGAAGCGCATACACACAGCATTGCTCAGCGATTCAACATGTCGAGAGTACCAGGAAGCAGGCTTACAGTGAGAGGCGTTCTAATGATTTTAATCACTGCCGTTGTCTCAGTGCTAGACTAATTCTGATAAATGTCGCCGTCACGAGGGTGATGTGGGATGATGAACCGTTCTATTGAACGTCGCAGGAAACTCCCATATTCAGAAATTATCCGACAGGAAGTTATGCAGTTACGTTACAAAGTCCGTTCATAATTCTTATGTCTGTCAGGCGAAAGTATCATAGACGCAATGTTATAAATGGTGGATAGGTGACCAAGCCAGCCCACACAGTGTATTTAGCCAATAATTAATGTAATACATTTGGGCGTAATAAGCAATTGTTATAATACGAGCAATGAACAAAAAAGACAATCAAACACTGGAAATTTTTTCGTTGTTTCTTACTCGAATGCTGCTGTTGCCTTGTTTACTAGAAGCGGTGTTTGATGAGGAACAATTTTAATTATGGCTTCATCAGAAGGTGGAAGGAAACTTTTCCATACGTGCTAAAGAGGAATTCTGGACACTTTGAAAGGTTGTAGGGCTTGATAATAGACCCTACTGGTTGCTTTGGGATGGTCGAAAATGGTTTCCAATTCAAACGACTGTTTCGTACATATGCATTGACGTTAGTATGGCCGATTTATTAAAATTCAATTGAGTTTATTTACTTACATGCTTTACAACAGCCAGATAAGGCCATTAAGTTAATCATAAGCTTTATTCCTATTTGCGGATATCCTTAAGTTTTTCATAATATGGGGATTCCCTATTATCTTCTACGTTATATAAATTTATAAATTGGCATTTTGTGTGTCTGTAATGTAATGTAATGTAATTAATGTGTGTGTATGTATGTATGTGTGCGTGTGTGCATATGCGTATGTGTAGGCATGGATGCATGCTTACTTATAGCTGTAGAAGGGATTCACCAATTTTCCGCAAACTTTGTATGCATATTAGGAAATGTTTCTAAAAAGGTCAAAATCTCTGGATTTGAGTCCCGGTGATGGTAGTTTTTGGCGAAGGGGTTACAAGAACACTTTGAATATAAAAATTAATACAATAATTTATTTTCCGTCTATACACAAACTTAAAATAATGTAGTTTAAAATTACTTAAAATTATAACATTTCTCAGTAGATACTGTATCTTGTTACATTTTGTATTGACGACATGTTTCGATGTGTATTACATCATCATCAGGTCTATCAATTTTAAAAACTGTTGCACATCTTGCGTTGCGTATATTGATTTGTTTGATTTTAAGTATCTTCCTTTAAATTTGGAGGTTGTGCTTGGATGTTTTATATCTGTAAAATTAATTTTCAAATCGTGATTTTGGATATTGACATAGGAAATATAATAATTTACTAATTTAAAGAGTTATTACGTAATATAACG